AAAAAATAAGAAAAAGAGAAGAAAACATTTTTTTGTCAAAAAAATAAAACCAGGACCAGCAGGTGGCACGGTGGTTAAGGCACTGGATACTCCCACATGGTTGATCACAGTTTGAGTCCCAGACCTGGTGGCTTGCTTTCTCGCGTTCTCTCTCTCTGGTCAAATTAAAATAAACAAATCCATAAAAAAAAAATCTAGCTAGCTTGCTGTGTGAATGGGGCCGTTGAGAACTCAAATATAGATGACTACTGACTGGCCTGTCCTTTGGTGGCAGGGAGAAAGGTAAGAATTAGAAAGACAAAAGAGCCGCAATTAAAAATTAAAAATAGAGAGAGAGAGAGAGATGTAGAGAGACAGAGAGAATAAGAGGGGTGCTCTAACCTGGCTCCTGGCTAGACTGGGGAACAGGAGGGTGAAGTCTGGGCAGAGGATCTTTGGTGGTCGAAATCCCTGAATCAAAAACCACGAATTTTCAAGAGAAAACAGAGGCTACAATTCCTTTTTTTTTTTTTTTTCAATAAATTTTGTTTATTTATTTTAATTTGACCAGAGAGGGAGAGAAAGAGAGAGAAAGTGAGAAAGAAAGCCACCAGGTCTGGGACTCGAACCATGGTTGGCCATGTGGGAGTCTAGCCCCGTAACCACCATGCCACCTGCAAGCCCCCATACAATTCCTGACTTCTAAGCCTGCCTCTACCACTTAGTGCTGCGTGACCGTGGGCACGTTCTTTAACCCCTGCGTGCTTGTTTCTTCACCTTTACAGCAGGATAATCATTATACCTATTTCAGAGGGGTTCTGCTCATGGAATAATGTCTGTAGCATACTCCACTGCATAAATACTGTTGTTACTTATAATACCATGCTGGTCTTAAAAATTCATTAATTAATTGTTTTTAAAGAATTATTTTATTTAACTTTGTTCATTTATTTATTTAAATTTGACCAGAGAGGGGACAGAGTGAGAGAAAGAGAGAGAGAGAGAGAGAGAGAGAGAGAGAGAGAGAAAGAAAGTGAGAAAGCAACCCACCAGGTCCAGGACTCAAACCGTGGTCGGCCATGTGAGAGTCCAGACCCCTTAACTACCACACCACCTGCCATCCCCTTAATTTATTTTTTTAGAGGTTTTAAAAAAAGTTTTTTCCAAGAGGTTTTTGCTATAGGGTGCATATGCTTCCCAGAGAGGCAGAGAGATAGAGAGACAGAAAGCAAGAAATCACCCCCCCGGGGGGATAGCCATGCCACAATTCCTTTTCCTCTTTTCTCCTTTTTGGATCTCAGGCATGTATACACACGTGCCCAGCGTGAGTTTTAAGCCTCTGTTTCCAGGACTCAAACCATGGTTGACTACCTGGGAGTCCAGTGACATAACCATTACACCATCTGCTGGTCCTAGTTTTATAAATTTTTGCCTTAGGGTACGTGTGCTCACCAGAGAGAGAGAGAGAGACAGACACAGTGAGAGGGAAAGTGAGAAATCACTCTCCAGGGGGATGGCTAGGCTGCAATCCCTTCTCCTCCATTCTCCTCCAGGGATCTTGGGCACACACGCACTTGCACCTGATGTGGTTTTGAAGCTACCAGGTCAGTGACTTGGACTACGGTTAGGCCTGAGGGAGTCCAGTGTCATAACCACTACGCTATCTGCTAGTCCCATACCAGGCTGTTTTATTGCTCCTTTAAAATATTTTTCTATATGGTCTCTGAGTATTTTGTATTAAATGTATTTCCTTTGGTAATTTGGAAAGATTTTAATTTTTTGTACTATGGGTTACCTTTATAGCATTATATAATGTACTTGCTTCTTTGTAAAGTAATTATTATATTTCTATTTCCTCCTCTCTCCCACTTACATGTCATCTTATTTTATAAAATGCTTTATCTCAGTGTTTATCACTAAATCTGTGACTATAATTAGACCTTGCAACTTAAATTCTTATTTCAAGAGGTATCATTTTGACCCACTGACAAGGAAATCAGCAAACATACACATACTGTTTACATCTCCTTTTCCCTTTCCTACATTTGTGAGCAATATTATCTGTGCATTGCTGAGCTTAACATATTTGTTTTCTATTTTATTATCATAATTCGCACATTTGTGTGAGATTTAGTCTGGCAATGAATAAATTTAGTGCTTATATTAGTCCTTTATTGTGTTTCTAAACAAAAATACCTGAGACTAAGTGACTTAGAAAGAATAGAGGTTTATTTGGCTCACGATTCAGCTGGCTGGAAAGTCTAAGAGCATGGGCTTGGCATCTGGCTGGCCTTTGATGCTAGGTCACAACATGGCTGGATACTCAGGTGGGTCAGTAGCAGGCTGGAGTTCAGGGGAACCGATTTACCACTTCCTCACTCCCAGCCCTTTGGATAATACCTGCCCACAAAGAAAATGAGTCGTCTTCTCTCAAGTCACTGAGTCACATGTCAATTTTGTTTGGAAAGGTACCCGCCCACATTCAAGGCAGGTCTTCCTCTTAGAGGTCTAGCCACCTCCCATTGCTGTTATGTTAGAAACCAGATCTTACATTTTAATTGCCAGAGGATGTTTGCACTCACTACAGAGAGACCAAGAAGGCGTAGGGAAAAGCGTCCCCAAATAGGGTGTAATCAAGCTGCAATCTAGTCTCCATTTCTCCATGCCATCAGGATTTGCGGCATACATGCACACATACCTGGAGACTTTTTCAAGCCATTAGGTCAGGCCTCAAATTGTAGTCAGCCATCTGAGTTCTGACTCCCTTCACACCAGGCCATGGTGCTAACCCTAGACCAACTTTAAAGCATGAAACTTGGGGCACTCATCAAACCACATCAGTGCTTGTGTTTAAATTTTTTCTTTATTGTATTTGTTTTCTTTTTCATTGTAGTTTTATTCAGCACGATTATAGAACACACTGCATGCTACATAACACACCGTATCCTTCTAGCTGGGGTGGATGACCATAGCTGAGTTATTTTTCATCAGTCAGGGTACTGCTTCCTTAATCAGTGTTCTCCAAACCCTTTGATACGTATTGACAACTCCAGAGATGTGCATATCTCTTTCCATCAAACGCCACTGATATGTGAAATGGGCAACCCTCTTCCTTACTCTCTTTCATGAACTTGTGCGTGTACACAGTGGCCAGCCTGGGAATGACCAAGCACACGCCCATGGCCATGGATCTCACTTTTTTTCCCTCAAGGATTTTAAGAACTCTATTTTAGTGGTATTTAGCCTTTTAAAAAAAAAGAGTTCATTTATTTATTTATTTTAATTTGACCAGAGAGGGAGAGAGCAAGAGCGAGAATGAGAGAGAGATAAAGTGAAAAAGTAAGCCACCAGGTCCGGGACTCGAACTGCATCCAGCACCCTTAACCACCAATCCATCTGCCAGCCCTGGTATTTAGCCCTTTAGAGGTGGCAACATTTTTTTCTCTTCTGTTGAGTATTAATACCATTTGTGTTTCTTTTTTTCTTCTTCTTTCATATAGTATATTTGAATAGACCCTGAACTGGTTCTTTCTTTATTGTTTATTATTGTTTAATAAAGTGAATTCCTCTTGGAATAACTTAGCTGTAGAAGGTTTATGTGTGGGAGAGGCCAGGATTTTGTTCTAGCTAGCAGGACTCCACCATGATTCACAATGATGTACCCTGTGACATAGGTCTGCGTGTGGAACTGACTTCTCTTAACCTGAGTTTCTCTGGAACTCGTAGTGTCAGGCTTATTCATAATGCATTGCTTTGCCTTCTGTTCTCACGCTCGGATCATTCCTGGTACATTTGCTTCTGTGTGATTATTCAGCCCTCCCTCGCCTGCTGTTCCTTGGTGTCATTCGGTTCTAGGGATGCTTTCACTGATGTCAAGAAGCCTATTCCCTGTACATCAAAGAAGGTTTTTTTTATTATTTTAAAAAATCGTTTTCTTTTCAGAGTATGTCACCAACTTCAGAGACTTCTTGCTCTGGCAGTGTCTCAGCCACGGATGATCTTTTTTGCTTTTTTTGGAAAGGTTTTTGCTATAGGGTGTGTGTGCTCGCCAGCCAGACAGAGAGAGACAGAGAGACAGAAAGTGAGAAATCACCCCACAGGGGGGATGGCCATGCTGCAATCCCTTCTCCTCCATTCTCCTCTCGGGATCTTGGGCACGCACGCACACGCGCCCTGCATGAGTTTAAGCCACCGGGTCCAGGACTCGAACCGCAGTCAACTACATGGGAGTTCAACGACATAGCCATGATGCTAACTGCTGGTCCCCATGGATGATCTTTTCATGTCCCCTTTACCTGTGTGTTCTTGACTACGTTTGGTAGTCCCACCTTGTTTGTCATGAGCAGGGGTTACAGATGGCCCTTAGTTTTGTCCTAGATGGAGTTTCATTAATTTTCGTCATTGGCTTTACCGGGTTCTCTGAGAAAAGAAAGGAAGAGTGGTGTTTTGTTTTGTTTTGTTTTAAACTATAATGTAAAAAAGCAAAATGTGGGGCCAGCAGGTGGTGTGGTAGTTGAGGCACTGGACTCCCACATGGCCGAGGATGGTTTGAATCCCAGATCTGGTGGCTTGCTTTATCACTTTCCCTCTCTCTCTCTCTCTCTCTCTCTGTCTTTCTGTCTTTCTTTGGTGAGCACGCATGCCCTGTAGCAAATTTTAAAATCATAATAACAAATAAATAATTCTTAAAAATTCTTTTTTTAAGAATTATATTTTTATTTACATTTTATTTATTTATTTATTTATTTTAATTTGACCAGAGAGAGAGAAGTAAAGTGAGAAAGCAAGCCACCAGGTCTGGGACTCAAACCACTGTCGGCCATGTGGGATTCCAGTGTCCTTAACCACAATGCCACCTGCTGACCCCCTCCAAAAAAGCATTTTTTTTTAAAAAGCAGCATGTACTTCTACAATTTACATTGCTTATGCATTTAATTTATTTTTTATACTTACATATACAGTATGAGTCATTGTTCTTAACTTGATCTTATAAAGTCTGTTTTGCATTTCTTTTATAATAGCAACTGAGGCATGAGAATTTGGTGAACCTCTTGGAAGTATGTAAGAAAAAGAAACGATGGTACCTAGTCTTTGAATTTGTGGACCACACAATTCTTGACGACTTGGAGCTCTTTCCTAATGGACTAGACTACCAAGTAGTTCAAAAGTATTTGTTTCAGATTATTAATGGAATTGCATTTTGTCACAGTCACAATGTAAGTATTGTTCTTCAATAGATTTTCACTTGTATGTGTCTCTGTATCTGTGAGTACTTGAATGTATACAGCTAGAAATATCATTTTAACCCTTTGTGAGCTAGGCTCAGTAAAAATATTTAATAAATGTAAGGTTGCTGACAACTCAGGTGTAATGCGAATAGTTTAGGCCCTTATGAAGTATGAATAGTTGTAGACTCTTAAGTAATTCTTTGATGAAATTACTAGGAATAATAATTAGGTCATACTAGCAATGAAGATCTTTTTTTTTTTTTTTTCATAAAAATTTTCTTGAATGCCCCAAGTCTTCAGAGATAAATTTACCTGCTTAGTTTTGAGAACAGTTATTAGTGAAACAGTTGATTTGGCAATTAATAATATATATTTTATCTAATACCCTTGATTATTTAAAAAAAATTCAAGCATAAATTTTTTTGTGCCTAATTATATCTCAGATGCTTAAAGATTAAAGCAATTTCATATTTTCATTTGTACTCAAATGTATACAAAAACAGTATCTCGCACATGGCAGGTGTCCCCCAGATAATTTATTTATTTAGTTTAACATCTATCCGCCACGTTTTTTCTCTCAGATCATACACAGAGATGTAAAGCCAGAGAATATATTAGTCTCCCAGTCTGGCGTTGTCAAGCTATGCGATTTCGGGTTTGCGCGGACACTGGCAGCTCCCGGGGAGGTTTACACGGACTACGTGGCCACCCGGTGGTACAGAGCTCCTGAGCTGCTGGTCGGTGATGTCAAGTACGGCAAGTAAGACACTGATGATGCGCGGGGGCAGAGTTTAACTTTCTTTTCTTGCTAAAATAGAGTAGATGCACAAGAGAGTGAATTATCCTCTACCACTTGTGAGGAAGGCTTGAACTCGGAGAACTGTATAAAGTGATTGGCAACCATTTTTGGAACCTCCCTTTAAACATTCTTGGGGAGAAGTCCAGGGAGGTGTACTTATTTTATTTATTTAGAGAGATTTTTGCTACAGGGCATGCGCACTCACCAGAGACAGAGAGAAAGTGAGAAGTCGCGCCCCCCCGGGGGCTGGGGTGGATGGCCATGCCACAATCCCTTGTCCTCCATTCTCCTCTTGGGATCTTGTGCACACATACCCACACACCTGATGTGAGTTCCAAGCCACTGGGTCTGGGACATAAACCACAGTCAGCCATGTGGAAGTCCAGTACCTTAACCACTATTCCACCTGCTGCCCTTATACTCACTTTAAAGGTAGAGAAATTAAGTTGAGTAAGTTGTCTGTTTCTAGGTTAGAAGTACATATATTTGGGACCAGCAGGTGGCGTGGTGGTTAAGGTGCTGAGCACTCCCACATGGCCGAGCATGGTTTGAGTCCTGAACCTAGTGGCTTGCTTTCTCACTTTCTCTCTCTCCCCACTGTGTGTCTCCCTCTGGTAAAATTAAAATAAATGAATGAATAAATAAAATATTGTTTTTTAAAAAGGAGTATATATATTTATCACAGTAGAGAGAGGTTACCATTGGTTGGATAAGTCTGACTGTGCTAAAACAGGCAGGGTTGAGGAGGCAAGGGTGGGAGCAAAAATTAAATTGAGTGAACTCTTTTTCAAACAAATTTTCTTCTTTGGAGCCAGCAGATGTTGTAGCAGTTGCATCCCTGGACTTGCACATGGCCTGTGCAGTTTGAGTCCTGGACTTGGGGACTTGAAAATCATACCATCTGTGTGTGTGTGCACGTGCCCTAGATCCCGGGAGGAGAATGGAAGAGAGGGATTGTGGCATGGCCATCCCCCTGCGGGGGGTGTGATTTCTCACTTCCCCCCTCACTGTCTCTGTCTCTGTACAGCTAGTGCATGGGCCTCAAGGGAAAAACCTCTTAAAAAACAAACAGAAAGGAGGGGCTGGCAGGTGGCGTGGTGGTTAATGGTGCTGGACTCCCACATGCCTGACCTCAATTCAAGTCCCGGACTTGGTGGCTTGCTTTCTCACATTCTCTCTCTCTCTCTCATTTTTTATCACTCTGTCCCTCCCTAGTCAAATTAAAATAAATAAATTAAATTAACTTTAAAAAAAAAGAAAGGAAGTGATGGCTTAAAAAAAAAATAACAAAAACACAGAGGGGCCAGCAGATGGCATGGAGGTTGGGGCACTGGATTCCCACATGGTTGACGTGGTTTGAATCTTGGACCTGGCGACTTGCTTTCTCACTTTCCCTTTCTCTCTCTCTCTTTCTGTCTCTCTCTGGTCAAATTAAATAATAAAAGAAATAATAATAATAAATCAACTTTATAAGTAAATAATCCTTTTTTTAAAAAGTTACAAAAGCAAATCGTTCATAGGTGAATTCATCAAAGAAGAAAGGATTGTAATGTTTGTTATTTTTTCTTTTTTTGGAGAGGTTTTTGCTATAGGGTGCATGTACTCACCAGAAAGACAGAGAGAGAAAGAGAGACAGGATGGCCACACCGCAATCCCTTCTCCTCCATTCTCCTCTCAGGATTGTGGGCACGCACATGCGCCCAGCGTGAGTTTAAGGCATAGGGTCCGGGACTTGAACTGTGGTCAACTACATGGGAGTCCAGTGACATAGCCATTTACGCCACCTGCTGGTCCCAGTTTACTGTTTTTAACAGAAATCTTTCTAAAGTATTTTCTACAATTTTAGTGTACACTAAATATCACTTTACTGCCATGCTGTGATTTTCGTGCTATAGTCATCCCCTTTTATCATGGTAGGTACATTCTAGGACCTTAGAGGAAGCCTGACGCTATGGATGGTGCTGCACCATACATGTATATCTTCTCCTTTCCCTGGGCTGCTAAGGGACTGATGGGGTGGGTAGTCTTTATAGTGTGGCTCTGCTGGACAAGGGCTAATTCATTGCCCTGGATGGGCTGGAGAGGGCAGGTGCCAGATTTCACCATGCTGCTCAGAATGTCAGACAATTGAAAGCTTATGAATTGTTTATTTCTCAAATTTTCCCTTTAATGATTTTGGACCGTGGTAAAGTGAAACTGCCAATAAGGGAAGATGGGGCTACTGTATATAATAGATATGTATGGGGCCAGCAGTTTAGCATGGTGGTTAAGGTACTAGACGCCCCACATGGCTGACTGTGGTTCAAGTCCTGGACCTGGCGGCTTGCTTCCTCACTTTCCCTCCCTCTCTCTCTCTCTGGTCAAATTAAAATAATAATAATAATAGTAATGAATAAAATAAAATTAAATAATTCTAAAAAAAAGACCCACATGATATTTTTTTAAAAACCACATGATTTTAAAGAGTTTCAAGGCATTCGTCCCTATGCTAAAAGACACTAGCATATTCTTCTTTGAGTTCTTGTGACTGATTTTTAAAGTAGTTTTAAAATTTTCCTTCTATTAACTTTCACTTCTATGTGACTGTATTCACCCTCAGCAACTACGTCTTTTTTCTGGTATTCTCTTTTTCAGTGTACCATGGCTGAGACTGATCAGCGTTCTTAGAATTAGGTGTAAATGAAGGTGAATGGACTCCGAATGGAGGCGAGAGTCTTATTTCCTGACTATAGTACACATCATAATCGTTTTGGATTTTCCGAAGCCTTTCCCCTCTTATGTCACATTTTTGAAGTTTTTGGGAAATACTCTTATAAAATTAAGAGTTAAAACCTTTCATTTCTTTTTAGATTTTTGCCATAGGGCACATGTGCTCATCAGAGAGAGGAAGAGAGGGACAAGTGAGAAATCACCCCCGAGAAGGATGGCCACGCCGCAATCCCTTCTCCTCCATTCTCCTCTCGGGATCTTGGGCACCGCATGCACATGTGCCCAGTGTGAGTTTAAGCCACCGGGTCCAGAACTCAAACCATGGTCAACTACATGGGAGTCCAGCGACATAGCCATTATGCCATCTCCTGGTCCCCAGAGGAATGTCTTTTTATGGGTAATTTATAGTTACTACTACTATTCTCAGTACCAAGAATGCTGAATAATAATTTGCAGGACAGATGAAGTTATGGTAAAGAGACAAAGATGCTGAATTCACACCTCATTGCTTCTCTTTCAGGGCTGTAGATGTGTGGGCCATTGGTTGCCTGGTCACTGAAATGCTTATGGGGGAACCCTTGTTTCCTGGAGATTCTGATATTGATCAATTATATCATATTATGATGTGTTTAGGTAAGATATACATAAACGTTCTAAATTTTAGGGTTTTTTTTTCCCTCCTGTGTGCATGTTAATTTGTGCTGATTTTTTAAGCTGTTGCAGTATTAAAGATAATATGAGATTAAATCACATTATCCTTGAGTTAACTTTATCAGACCACTGTAAAGACCACCATGTGGTATGATGGGAGGGTAGAAATAGGAAAAATTCATCAGTGTGTATGTGTTTGTGCATGTGTACAGTTAAAGGATCTTCCAGAAGTTCATGGAAATGTGTGATATGACAAAATATGCATGGATTTCAATTTTTTTTAATGAAATAATTTTTTTTTTAAAGTTTGCTATAGTGTGCATGCACTTACCTATAAGAGACAGAGAGAGGAAAAGTGAGAAATCACCTCCCAGTGGGGATGGCCACACTACACAACCCCTTCTCCTCCATTCTCCTCTGAGGATTTTGGGCACACACAGACATGCTTCTGGCCTGTTTTACAAGCTGCCAGGTCCATCACTCAAACCGCGCAGTTGGCCACGTGGAACCCATCACCCTAACCACCACACCACCGGCTGGGCCCTCAAATAAATGCACTGAAATAAAGTTATACTTTAATTCCATTTTCTCATGAACTTTTTGAAGTCTCCTCATGTGTGTGTGTTTTTTTCCTTGTCTGACTTTGGTCTATCTGACACACGTTCTTAAATATACTCACTCCCCTTCTCCCTCATCAGAGAAGAGCAGAGCCAAGACTGCATTTCTCTGCACTTTCTCATTCCAGCAATCGCATGTGGAGAGGGTGTAGATGACCATTTATTGCCTTTGGGTCTGTACGTACTTGGTATAATACGACTAATACCCTCTCCTCACCTTCAAGATGAGAGACACAAAGACTTCCAAAGTCATCACGTTTTTGTATAGAAAAACATAAAAAAAAAAAACCCATGACTTTTCCGACAACCCGATAGTTTGATCTTGCCTCAGGTTGGACTTTGTTGTCAGTGCTTTGGACAGAATTTCAAAGCTAGAGTCTTACATTTGTTGAAATATCAACTTCATATTTGAAGATAGAGCTGGGAAGATGGGAGTAATGGGAAGACACCTGGGAGCAATTTAACTATTTGATATGAAGTTTCCAAGTTAGAAATTCATTGAATAGTACAATGGCTTATGGTAGGACTTTCAAATATTTTTTATACTAAATTAAATATTAAAGTCCTCAAATTTAACCTTGGATATAGGTACAAAATCAGTTGACCAAAAATTATATATATATATTTTTAAGGTTTTTATTATAGGGTGCCTGTACTTGCTGGAGAGAGACAGTGAAAGAGAAAGAGGGAAACCACCTCCTTGGGGAGATGGCCACTCTACAATTCTTGGTCCTCCATTCTCCTCCTGGGATTTTGGGGATGCACACACATGTATCCGGCATGATTTTTATTTATTTATTTTTAAATTTTTATTATTTTATTTAACTTTATTTATTTATTTTATTTGACCAGAGAGGGACAGAGTGAGAGCGAGAGAGGGAAAGTGAGAAAGCAAGCCACCAGTCTGGGACTCGAACCACAGTCAGCCGTGTTGGAGACCAGGGACATTCAACACCACCACCACACCACCTGCTGGCCCATTGGCATGATTTTTAAGCTGTCAGATCCAGGACTCAAGTTGCAGTTGAACATGTGGGAGACCAGTACCTTAACTACCTGCTGGCCCACCAAAATTAAAATTTTAAAGAATAAAACTGACTCATGTAGGTTAGATCCTTATATGACTATTAATAGTGTTTTCCTTGTTTTGGTCCATACTTTATACTTTATTGTTAAGAATAAAGTACTGGTACTTATATGAGTCTAGAAAGATCTAAAATATTCTTATCTGTTCTTTTCCTATGCTCCCTCACTTCAATTCTATTTGTAGGGGCACGTGAGCTTTTCTAAATGAGTGTGTCGAGATAGCAATGTGAATTTCCTTATTTCCTTGAGCAGACTTATGTCAGGGCCTGTAAAGACTGCCGTGAACTATCGCAGTAACAGCACTCTCTTTGCTGGATCCTGATGCGGAGGGAGCCCCCAACTCCATACGCTGTGCTCTCCTGTTTCCTTACTCCACACCACCTGTCTCCTTAACCATTTTTGCCATGTTGTGTCATGACAGAGATGTGGGCTGTTTCACTCCTAGGTAATCTCATTCCAAGACATCAGGAGTTGTTTTACAAAAATCCTGTGTTTGCTGGAGTCACGTTGCCTGAAATCAAAGAAATGGAGCCTCTTGAAAAACGCTATCCTAAGCTCTCCGAAGTGGTGATAGATTTAGCAAAGGTAATCATACTTTTTCCTTTTACTTTTTTGAAAAAAGAATTACTTATTTTAGGGACCAGCAGTTGGCGTAATGGCTATGTCACTGGACTCCCATGTAGTCAACTGCGGTTTGAGACTCGGTGGCTTAAACTCATGTCGGGCACGTGGGCGTGCATGTCCAAAATCCCAAGAGGAGAATGGAGAAGGGATTTTGGCATGGCCATCCCCCCTGAGGAGTGATTTCTCACTTTCTGTCTCTCTGTCTTTCTGGTGAGTGCATGCACCCTATAGCAAAAACCTCTCAAAAAAACTTTTAAAAAAGAATTATTTCCTTTATTTTTCATTGTTGTTATATTTTAATTTGACCAGAGCGATACATAACAGAGATGGGGGGGAGAGGGAGAGAAAGCGAGAAAGCAAGCCACCAGGTCCAGGACTTGAACCATGATCAGCCATATGAGAGTCCAGTGCCTCTAACTACCGTGCCACCTGCTGGCCCCTCTTTTTACTTTTTGACAGGGAATTGATATATTACTCTCTCTCTCTCTATCTTTATTTTTTCTAGTTGATCTTTTAGATCAATAGTTTCCCCGATTGCTTTAAGTTTTATGTATTTAAAAGTAATCTGAATAATTTGGTGGGAAGGAACTTCAGAAATAAAGTTCTGGAAATAAATAAATAAGTGAAATTCTGAAAATTTTACCTGTTTTCAAGTCCATTAAGAAATCATTTAGTATTTGGGCCAGCAGGTGGCGTGGTAGCTGAGGGTACTGGATTCCCACGTGGTTAACAATAGTTTGAGTCCCAGACCTAGTTGCTTGCTTTCTCACTCTCTTTCTCTCCCTCACTCTGTCCCTCTCTGGTCAAATTAAAAATAAATAAATAAATAATAAAATAATACTTTTAAAAAAAAGAAATCATTTAGTATTATCTAGCATGTTTTTGTTTGTTTTTAATTTGCTATAGAGTATGTGTGCTCACCAACTAGAAAGAGAGTGAGAGAGAGGTAAAATGAGAAAGCACCCTGGAGGGGGGTAGGTGGCCATGCCACAATCCTTTCTCTTTCATTCTCCTCTTGGATTTTGGGTATGCATGCACACACACCCTGCATGTTTTATAAGCCACCAGGTCTGGGACTCAAACTGTTCACTCAGCCATCTGAGATCCAGGTGCCTTAACCACCATGCCCATTACTGATAGTCATTGTCTAGATGTGTGCTTTATTTATTTTTTAAAAGTTTGTCCATTTTTCCCTTCCATGACTGAGAGGACTGAGAGAGAAAGAGAGAGACACCCTAACGTGGTCCACATGCTGTGGTCCACACCCAGCCCCAGCCAGCTCTGATCCCAGGCACCTGCATGCGGTGCATGCACAGTGAAGTCTCTGTACCCCGGAGCCCTCCCATCGGTCAGCCTTGCAGCGTATTGCGTTACCACCACAGCACTCTCCAGCCCACTGCCTTATATTTTATCCTTGATTATACATGTTTAAAATTCGCTGGCCATTAAGGAGAATTTTCTTTTTTTCTCTGTGTAGAAGTTTACATGTGGACAGCTTTTTTTTTTTTTTTTTTAATGAACTGTAATTATTCTTGATTTTTCAGAAATGCCTACATATTGACCCCGACAAAAGGCCCTTCTGTGCTGAGCTCTTACACCACGATTTCTTTCAAAAGGATGGATTTGCTGAGAGGTATAGTACTGCCTCTTGTTTTCCCGGCCTCTCCCACCTAGGGTTACTGTAAGCCTTCCCCAAGGGGCACAAACAGTATTTCTCTTATTTCTGTTCCCACCCACTTTTGCAGGATTCAAGTATCTACCCACGTTACCCTCCGCTCACTCTTAGCAGTAACACAGTTCCTGGGTTGGTCTTTACGCCTACTAAGCTACTGCTCTTGATAGTCACGAAGGACTCGTTTCACGCTTTTCCTTCTGTTTTCTTGTGGTGACACCTACCATTCACACCACTGACTTCTGTGTCGTGCCTGTTGTGTAACGTCATCACCTCAGCGCTCACACAATTACAGTGGTTGCTATCTCCGGTCGCAGCCAAGCTCACACCACGCTGAGTTCTGTGAGACTGCTCACAGCCTTGATGTGCGGGGGACGCTGGCTGCCAAGCCTGACGGTGCCAGTGCTGCTAGCCTGGTCTCTGACGCTACTCAGCGCAGCCAGTGGGTTGAGTGACAGTGACATTGCTTTCCATTTCTGCAAATCTCTTGACTATCTCGCTGAATAATGATAGCAGGGTTTTTGTATTTGTTTCTGTGTTCACTTAGTTGTGGCATGTCATTTTGGTTGAAGTACTTGAAGAAATTCTGGCCTCATACAAATATGTAGTTGAAGAATGGGAGTTTTTTTTTTTTTTTGGGAGAGGTTTTTGCTATAGGGCACGTGCACTCCTCAGAAAGACAAGAGAGAGACAGAGAGACAGAAAGTGAGAAGTCACCCTCCAGGAAGGATGACCACGCCACAATCCCTTCTCCCCCATTCTCCTCTTGGGATCTTGGGCACGCACACACAAGTGCTCGGCATGAGTTTAAGCCACTGGGTCCGGGACTTGAATTGTGGTTGACTACATGGGAGTCCAGCAACATAGCCACTATGCCAACTGCTGGTCTCATTTCTTCCTTTTTTAAAAAATAATTATTTTATTTAACTTTATTTGCTTATTTATTTTCAATTTGACCAGAGACAGACAGAGAGAAAGAGAAAGAAAGAGGGAAAGTGAGAAAGCAAGTCACCAGGTCCGGGACTTGAACTACAGTCAGCCATGTGGGAGTCTAGCGCCCTTAACCACCATGCCACTTGCTGGTCCCATGGGCATTCTTCTTTGATACCAAAACTTGGAATTGGTACTGAACCTGTACAGTAGTGATTTCTTTCTTAAAATAATTATTTATTTAATTTTATATATTTATTATTATTTTTAAAGAATTATTTAATTTTATTTATTCATTCATTTATTTTAATTTGACCAGAGAGAAACACACAGAGAAAGAGAGGGAGAGAGAGAGAGAGAGGGAAAGTGAGAAAGAAGCCACCAGGTTTGGGACTCAAACTGTGGTTGGCCATGTGGGAGTGTCCAGCACCTTAACTACCACGCCACCTGCTGGTCCCAATTATTTTTAATATGCTATAGGGCACGTGCACTTACCAGAGAGAGACAGAGAGAGGGAAAGTGAGAAAGCAAGCTGCCAGCTGTGCAAGTCTAACCATGGTTGGCCACGTGGGAGCCCAGCGCCTTAACTACAATGCCACTTGCTGGCCCCAGTAGTGATTCCTTAACATTTCACTGTACTGTAGAATCCGAAGCCACGTCAATGAACTTTTCTTCATCTGTGATGCTGAAGTCCATTCGTCTGTTTTGTCTCTTGAATGGATGGTTTACCCAGGCATGCATTAATAACATCATGCCTTAGTTATTTGGAAAATACTGGTTTGCTAAGTTATGCAGATCTTTAAAATGTTGGCTTATTTCATTATACGATATCAGAAAGGCACATTCTGTCTCATCAGAAAAGTCTTTAAGTATTGAGAAACTGCTAAGATATCTCCCAGTGGTGCATACAAGTTTAGAATTTTAATGTTGGCATAGATTTGAATTTTATCTTTGACACAGGCATTATCGGTTGTTTTCCTTGAAATGACAAGCTCATTTTGTTCATTAAAAAAAAAAAAAAATGTGTTGGGACCAGCAGATGGCAGAGTGGTTACATCACTGGTCTACCCCACATGGCTGACCACCATTTGAGTCCTGGACCCCATTGGCTTGAAACTTACGCCGAGCTCATGTGCCGTGTGCATGCGTGCCCTAGATTCTGGGAAGAGAATGGAGGAGAAGGGATCAAGACGTGGCCATCCCCCCGTGGAGGGGGGGAGGGTAATTACTCACTTTCTCTCTTACTTTCTCTGTCTTTCTCTGCAGCAAGTGCATGCACCTAAGGCAGAAAACCTCTTAAATAAGTAAAGGACTGGCAGGTGGTGTGGTGGTTTGGGTGTTGTACTCCCACATGGCCAACCATAGTTTGAATCCCAGACCTGGCAGCTTGCTTTCTCACTTATCTGTTCTCTCTCTCTCTCTCTGGTCAACCTAAAAAATAAGGACCCAGTAGGTGGCTTGGTGGTTAAGGGCACTAAACTCCCACATGGTCGACTGTGGTTTAAATCCCAGACCTGGTGACCTGGTGGCTTGCTTTCTCACTATCTTTCTCTCTCTTACTCTGTCCCTCTCTGGTCAAATTATAAATGAATAAATAAATAAATAAATAAGATCTAATAAAATAATTATTTTAAAAAAACTAAAAAATAGTAATAGATAAAAGTCAATAAAGTAATTCTTTTAAAAATAAATAAATAAAAATTAAAAACAAAAACAAAAACAAAATGGGACCAGCAGATGGCATAATGGCTATGTCGTTGGACTCCCAAGTAGTCGACTGCAGTTTGAGTCCCAGACCCGGTGGCTTAAAACTCACGCAGGGCACATGTGGGTGCGTGTCCAAGATCCTAAGAGGTGAATGGAAAAGAAAGGATTGCGGTGTGGCCATCCCCCTGGGGGGCGATTTCTTCCTTTCTTCTCTCTGTTTCTTGCTCTCTCACTGGCTAGTGCACACGCCCTGTAGCAAGAATCTCTCTAAAATAAATGAATTGAATAAAAAACATAAAAAAGAAAATGTCTCCTAAATATCCCAAGCCCAATTAACCTTAGTTTTTCTATCAGTCTTTCTCTCAGGTAAAAATGTTATTCCATGGAAGAAATGACTAGTTGAGTTTGTACCTCAGATAATCACACAGTCCATTTCTTTTTCCTTTCCTTTTTTAGTTTTTTAAGTTTTTTTTTTTTTTTTTTTTTTGCCATAGGGCACATGCACTTGCCAGAAAGAGACAGAGAGACAGAGACAGGGAAAGTGAAAAATCACTTCCCAGGGACGATGGCCACACCGACATCCTTTCTCCTCTATTCTGTCCTTGAGATTTTGGGCACACAAACACATGTGCCTACTACGATTTTCTTTTCTTTTAAATTTTTTTTTTTTTTTTTAGAATTTTTAACTTTATTTATTTATTTATTTAAATTTGAGGGACAGAGTGAAAGTGAACGAGAGAGAGAAAGCCACCACCAGATCTGGGACTCATTCCGTGGTCGGCCATGTGGGAGTCCAGCACCCTTAACCACCATGCCACCTGCTGGCCTCACCTAGTATGATTTTCAAGCCACTGAGTCTGAGATTCAAACCACCAATGGCCACGTGAGAGTCTAGTGCCTTAACCACCATGCCACCTGCTGGCACCCACATGTGCTTTCCTTAAGACAGCTATTGGCTTTGGTTTGTAGTATAGGTGCTTCGTACACAGTCCCATTTAATCCCACAGAGTATGAAAAGAGACGTGTTCAAGGGCTTAGCTGTAACAACATTAATACCTTTCCACTGCTTCATCAGATACATTCGTAAGCAAACTTGTCTGGTATTGTTTTGTTTTTCTTTGTATAGGGCATATGTGCTCGCCAGAGAGACAGAGAAACATAAAGCAAGAAATTACCCTTCAGGGGGCAGCCACATTGCAATCCCTTCTCCTCTATTTTCCTCTCAGAGAATGTGCCCTGCTCCCGGTGTGAGGTTTTTTTTTTTTTTTTGGAGAGGGTTTTTGCTATATGGCGTGTTTGCTCACTCGAGAGACATAGAGACAGAAAGGGAGAAATCACCCCCCAGGGCGGATGGCCATGCTGCAATCCCTTCTCCTCCATCCTCTTGGGATCTTGGGCACACACGCACATGCACCCGGCGTGAGTTTAAGCCACCAGGTCTGGGACTCAAACCATAGTCAACTACATCGGAGTCCAACGACACAGCCATTACGCCAACTGCTGGCCTCACGCCTGGTGTGAGTTTTAAGCTGCCAGGTAGGTCCAGGACTCGAACCATAGTCAGCCATGTGGGAGTCCAGCACTTAAACCACTATGCTACCTGCTGGCTCTATGTTATTGTTTCTTTTTTAACAGAGAAGGCGGGACCAGCAGTTAGCGTAATGGCTATGTCGCTGGACTCCCATGTAGTTGACCGCATTTGTGTCCCCGACCCCGTGGCTTGAACTCACGCTGGGCGCATGTGCCTTGCGGTGCGGCCATCCCCCCTGGGGGGTGATTTCTCGCTTTCTGTCTCTCTGTCTCTCTCTGTCTGTCTGGCAAGTGCATGCGCCCTATAGCAAAAACCTCTCCAAAAAAAACAAAAAAACAAGACAGAGAATGCGTGGTTGTGAAGGAAACAGTGGCTGTCAGTACAGACTGTTACTCCTGCTTTGATTTTGGTAGGGTGCCAGCGGTGTTATCTACAGTGCTTTTACACCATGGGTTCTGAGGTTAACCTGGTGACAAGGTCAGCACCTTCATATTAAGACAAGAATAGCGAGGCTGGGGCAGCCACGGCCAGCAGAGCTGCAGCCACCCTTTGCGTGCTCCTCGCTGACATCACACTCCAGTTCCTGCTTGGAGTTCCTCTGGGCAATGTGGTTGGAATGTATCTGGCTCAGAACCATGACGTACCAAACCTGGCTAAAAGGTCTGAAGAAGTTAAGGACCCACGTCCAAGAAGAAACCCCCTAGTTCACGAGGCCGACTCCAGCGCCGCCTTCTGGATACACTGAATCTACTACTCTGGAGGGCCTTCTTTACCATCCAAACAAAAGCTTTTGTTTTCACCTCCAGTCTCAATGATTTCCTTCTTGGCTAGACCCTATATTGTCTCAAAGCAAAAATGGAGCCACAGTGAAGAACTATCCTTGTATTTCCCACATCTTTGCCTCTTTCTAGATTCTCTTTCCAGCTGCTTGGGAGGTTTTGAGACTGGAGTATGGCGCTAAATTAGTAAACAGGACTTTCTTTTTTCTTTTTCTTTTTCTTTTTTTTGAATTATTTTTATTTAACTACATTTATTTATTTTCAATTTTGATTAGAGAGGAACAGAGAGAGGGCAAGAGAGGGAAAATGAGAAAGTAAACCACCAGATCCAGGACCGAGCCTCAGTCAGCTATGTGAGAGTCCACCACGCCACCTGCTGGCCACTAAACATGACCTTTAATTCGTAATCTTTCCCTCATTCTTTGGGATTTCTACTATCTTTGGTCAAAAGAAAAAGTGATGACTTTTGTCTTGTCTTTTCTTTTCTTTCTTTTCTTTTCTTTTTTTAAATAGCCAGTCAGCTACAAATAATGCTGATTTTACAGTTAGAAGTTATAAGAGGTGCTTGTTAAACACTTGGTACTAAGTTATGTCATTTCAGAAGAATTACATAGGTTTTTTTTTTTTTTTTTGAGAGATTTTCACTGTAGGGCGCGTGCGCTCGCCAGACAGACAGAGACATAGAGACAGAAAGCGAGAAATCACCCCCCAGGGGGGATGGTCACGCCGCAATCCCTTCTCCTCCATTCTCCTCTCAGGATCTTGGGCACGCACGCACACGCGCCCGGCGTGAGTTTTAAGCCACCGGGTCCGGGACACGAACTGCGGTCGACTACGTGGGAGTCCAGCGACATAGCCATTACACTAACTGCTGGTTCCGAATTACATAGCTTTTGTGAACCTCATGCAAAGTTCTCAGGGATCCCCAAAGGTCTGCAGACCCACCCTTTGGGACTGCTGACCTACGCCATGATTTTTCTCATTCGAAGTAACAGCGCAGGGCCAGATGGTGGCATGTGGTTAGGGGGCTGGATCCCACATGGCTGACTATGTAGTTTGAGTTCCAGACCTGGTGGCTTGAGGAATACAGGTGTATGCATATGCCCAAAATCCCTAAAGGAGGGAGACATGGAGGAGAAGGGACTGTGGTGTGACCCTCCACCACGGGGAGCGCGTTCTCACTTCCTTCTCTCCGTCTGTCTTTCCCCGGCGAGCACACTTGCCCTCTGGCACATTAAGAAGAAGAAGAAATGACAGTCTAGTTTAGCTCTCAATTGAAAAATATCTATCTTGAAAATAAATTTCTTTCTGATTATTTGTCTCATACAGTTTTATTTCACTGACAAGTGTATTGTTGTGTAGGTTTTCACAGGAACTGCAGTTAAAAGTACAGAAAGATGCCAGAAATATTTCTGTATCCAAGAAGTCCCAAAGCAGAAAGAAGGAAAAGGAAAAAGATGATTCCTTAGGTGAAGAAAGAAAAACACTGGTGGTGCAGGTAAATGTTCATGTTTTTAATTTTAAACTTGGGAGGAAAAATGAAATTTTTTTTTTACAAGAAGTGTTTTGAGTAGTGTGCAAGTTGTTTACTTTTAGTTTAGTTGTGAAAACTAATCTTCATTATAGACACTACCTATTAAAAAAACTTAATATTGGGGGATCAGCAGATGGCGTGGTGGTTAAGGCCCTGGACACTTCCACATGGGTAACCATAGTTTGAGTCCCGGACCTGGTGGCATGCTTTCTCGCTTTCCTCCTCCTTCTCTCTCTCTGTGTGTGTGTGTGTGTGTGTGTGTGTGTGGTCAAATTAAAATAAATGAATGAATAAATGAAATTAAATAAAATAATTTAAAAAAAACTTAATATATGGATCCCAGCAGGTGGCATAGTGGTTAAGCTGCTGGACTTCCACATAACTGACTGTGGTTTGAATCCCAGACCCAGCAGCTTGAAACTCATGCTGGGCTTGTGTGCGTGCATGCCCAGGATCCTGAGAAGAGAATGAAGAAGGGATTGTGGTGTGGCCATCCCTG